AATTAAGAGTGCATTGGTCCCTCCAAAAGACCAATTTTGTGATGACCCGAAGAATGGCTTGAAAGGAGTATGGAGTTTAATTTCTTGACATGAACCCTTGTTCAATGCAAAGCACCAACCTCCACCCATAAGAAAATTTTTCCATAAAAAGGACACCATTCTCAACCCTTTACACCCTTAAATCAGTCTGCAAAATCTCCATACAGTTCTCTATACATTTCCTAGGGAGCTAATAAGGAGAATTTGTTTAACAATCAAGAACTTCTTTAGTTGGTGATCATTTCCTTTATTCTTGTGCCCTTAATTTGTGATTCAAGGGTGATATTGTGAGGAGAAATTAGATGCTAGTCAATCTCAGAGATTAAAAGACCCTTTGGCCTTTGGCCCTTGCTTCTTTTGCTTTGTTCAACACATTTCCTCACTTTCTATGTCTTGCATGAAATCACCTCCCCCTCCCTCATAACTGAATGTCGCCCTACTTACCCTGGAGGTCCCTGGGTATATGATCCAAACTGAATCACTCCTTTCACCTTCTTTTCATTTTTGCTGAAGAAAAATACATACTCAAAGAATTTCCCTGGATATTCATTGACTAATGCTTTAGTGAAAAGCCTTCTTTCACCATAATATATGGTGCTCTTGTGTTCAAGCCAGTCGCCATTTCCTTGTTCTATTAAATCACTTTTAAGTCTTTTATACAAGTCAAGAGATTCCACAGTCCAAGTTTCATTGGGAGTAGAATAATTGGATGGCTCCATGTCTGCCATTTGACTGCTCTTCTCTACTTTTTCAGTTGTTAATAAATCCTAAAAGAAAAAAAAAATACCATCAGAAAGTTAACAACAGAATAATTGCCAGGCCAATTCATCAATTCTCAAAAAAAAACCATGTGGGTATCATTAATCAATTAAGACCATCCAATATTCCAAGCTCCACTCTTCCCTCTTCATCTACCCTCAGGTCGTTTCTTTGATGAAAAATTGTGTACAAAATCATAATAGGCCAATAATTTGTCGATGATCATTAAAAGAAATTATGAAAAAAAAGACATGACTTCCAAGCTGTTTAAAAAGAACTAGATCAGAGAACATTAAAAGTTGTATGATATAAAAAGTGCAATAATTACAAGAGTATTGTTGTGCTTGGTTCAGAAATGTAAGTTTTAACAAGCATGACCTGTGTATGGCAAAATCCCTTCATCAAAAAATACATTTTCCCTTATTTCTTTGTTCCTTAATCTTAGTTAAAAAGCATTTCTACACTCAGAAATGAAGCTACAGTTATAATCAATAAAAACCAGAAACCAGAAAAGACTAGCCTAGTGGTGGGTCAAAGTCCATGCCATTATTTTTCTCAAACACTGTAGCTAACAGGATAAACCAGCACCAGCTAGAATCTTACATAATCCACCAAAATAAAGCACATTTCACAGCCAAATTCCAAAATAAACCCTCCTTTAAACCTATTAAGCTATCAATAAAGAGTTTTCAATGAAGAAACAGTACCTGTGAACACCCTTGATTTACAGTGCTATAGAGTCGACATCCTGAGGACTTCTCAGTGATAGGTAGTGGTTTCGCTGTGTGGCCTTTAGTAACCTTCCACAAATGAGGCAATACACCAAAAACACAGTTCAAATATGATGCTTGTGTACTAACCTTTGGGTTCAAATAGGGCAAATTCCTTTTAAAACCCTGGTGAACTTCAACTTTACTAAGAGCATTTGAAATATTGGGCCTCTGTCGACAGATGAATCGAGACAAAGGGTGAAGTGCCAAGCAGTTTGCATGGCTTGTCATTTCAAGATCAAATAATCTACCTAGCACGTCTATAGGACTGAAAGAGAGCTGAAGCCATTTGTGTTAAAAACTACGACAATGAGAATCAAAAGTCCAAACTGAGGAAATTTAACCTGTGTTACATCAGACGATTGCAAGCAGGTAAGAATGTGTAATTTGAATTATTTCTTAAATTGGAAATTATCAAATTTATATAAACTTGCTTTACTTGATTTGAACTCACTTCTTATCTCAACTAAACTATCCTTTGATTTATTTGTCATCAGTGTATGAAACGGAAAGTCTTCCCCCTCCTTCCCTCACCATATCATGCTGTTTTCTACTGCACTTTGTTACAACTGAACGCCTGAAGCAGGCTAAAGACAGAAGACCAGCAGATCATCAAAAACTTTTCGGGTGTCTCGATTGTTCGTGTTTTACTCCTTACAAGAAATTTCCAACTCATTTAGTGAGATTTCTCATTCATTCGTTCTTTGTTTGGGAAAACACAGTAATCAGTTTATTACGTTCTCTTTATCTTTTTTTCTCTCTCTCTGCAATACACAAACAAGTTTGTCCTTTGCGTGACCCACCCACTACCATAATACCTGTATTAGTCTGTCACCAAGTTAGGATAACCAGTAAAAGGTATGTAAATCAATCCACTCGGCACTAATCTTGGATAACGTATCGTCATCGATCCATCTCTCAGCAATTTCTACCCTGAAGAAATGTAGCAAAATGTAAACCCAAGGAAGGCAACAGGTTTTTTTGTCAAGAGCTGTTTTTAATACGCGATTTGAGATCTTGTTTGTACGATGGCTCATGGAGGACATGCCACATTTTTTTATTTATTGTGCGATAAAATCAAAATATCGCGCGATAAATGAAAATTGTCGCGCGATAACTGATAAATTATTGCGCGATAAATGAAAAATCAGAGCGCAATAAATAGAGAATAATACATGGGCGCGTGTAAATGTGAAATTTCTGTTCGAGTGTTTAACTCGATAGCTCACAAGTGAACGCAGCGAACGAGTGGGATGTTGAGTTGAACACAAAAAGAGAAATTCCATATCTACAAGCAACCATGTATTATTTTGTTTATGATATAAACACAATAGCCCTTTTCTGACAAGGAAAGTCGTCTTCAATAATGAATGAAAATAAATGAATCGACAATCCCCGAATAACAATCGTAGAGTACGTTGGCGTTAACTCTTAAGATGGAAAAATATGTTGAATCATGATTACAAAATCAACAATGGTTGTAATTTTCAATTTACAAAATTCTCATTTATTGACTTTGTCCTTACCGAAAGAGGAAGTTTTTCAGGTAAACGGCCAAAATCGGCCTGTGGCAAATCCTCCAGTTGTCAATTTTGATTCTCAGCCGAGAGAAATGGTAACACCAAAGCCATTGAAACGTAACTTTCGGTTTTCTTTTAGAATATTGGTTTTCCTCCCCTTCTTGAGTTTGAACCTCACTGTTTGTCAGCGATACGGAATTTTAAGTGTTTTAGCCGCCGTAATTCGAGAAAGCTCCGACAAACAACTTGTATTGAGAATCGTGAAAACTTTGACGTTCATTTATCAACCTGACCGAGGGGCACCAAAGGCGGGTGACGTGTCAGCTGATTGGCTATATCAACGCACGTGAAAAAATACGATATTTTTTCACGTGTGTTGTTGCAGCTTTTCTCAGGGCCAGAAATCCCTGTATAACACCGCAGTTTATTTGATAAATTACAATATTACTATTGAGTTAAACACTCGACGAGAAATTCTATACCCATGCATTATTCTCTATGTAACATTATGTAACATCGGCTTACTTTGGCCTTGAGCCAACCAGAGGGCGAAGATGCTTATATCCTGTGCAAATTTGTCCTTTTCTGTCAGCAGCAGCGCCCTCACGCATACCGGCCCTGATCGCTTTTTCAGGAAAAACGACGACATAGTAATCGGACTCAGGGGAGTCCAATTTGGTTCGTAACATACGAGTAGTTAACAAAATCACTAATCACGAGTATGATTATAATAATATTAAAAGCCATGATGATGATAATAATAGTACCATTAAGAATGACGATACACTATCGATATTAAAGAATGATAGCCCATATAACCCTTCAGTTTTAGGACTAAAATGCAAATCAAAATACTCAGACAAGAATAATAATACCATAATTATTTAATAAATTATAGTACGCTTTTAGTATAAGGGTTGATATAAAGAGGAAGTGCTTATGAAGCAGCTGCATCTTTGAGATTTCTGAGCTAGAGTTACCTAATATTTTCGTATGAAGAGACATCAATACACTGAAAACTAAAAACCGAGAACTCAAAAGCAAAACGATGCAGATGAAGACCGACCGTTCTTAGAGAACGTTCGTGTGGGTTAAACTGAATTTAGTGAGATGAGTCGCGCAGACTTCTTTCGCGGAGGAAAACGACATCTTTGGTTTTACAGCTCAAGACATTTTATCTAGTTTAATTTTTGATTTTGGATAATTATGTGTCTGCGTTAAACTGATAACAGTTAAAAGTAAATTTCCAACACTGCCCTTCCCACTTCCAACTTTGTGACACGAGTTACGGTATTTTTCCTCATGCTCACTGTTTACTCAGAGACTTACTAACTTTTAAGGAACGTGATGGAATTTTGATAAAGATTTGTTGAAAATTACTACGGCAGATACTCTTAGAAAAAAGTGAGCTTTTTTCGATGTTTGTTATGACGATGGTTTCATGAATTACTGTCAAAACAACGTAAACGTGATCTTGGTCGTGTTTACAAACTATGTTTAGAAGATTTGCAGTAACAACAAGCACAGCATGAAATCATGTTTTGACAACTCGATAATTACTAAACGCGAGTTAAATTTACAGTCAACAAGCTTAAGATGTAATCCAATCCAATTTTTAGCATTTTTGGACATGAAAATAACTCGTTCTAATAACAACGGCAAATCTGCGAAATAAACCGATGTATTTTAAGTTTATCCTCTGAACTTGAAAAGAGTCGTTCTTCGTAGATGTTACTACATTGTCATACGTCAGTCTAGAGAGAAAAATGACCCAATCGCTCTGAGGAGTTGAAGAAAGCTAATATCTATGAAAGACCCCACGTATCATTACAATTCTAAGGCATCGATGCACTTATTTGCTCAGATCAGTCTTGCGAAGACAGTATCCACAACTTAATGAATATCGATGGTATCTAATGATATCTACTAACGGAAATTTCTACACCAAGACATAACCATAGCCGTTTTCTTTTTCAAAGTAGTGCTAAGTTCTTACTTCCTTCCATCTGTCGCTACTCAATAGTCATGGCTCTCTTTCTCCCGTGTGATAAATTCTTGTCTATGAATCCGTCTCGAATGTGGTTGATGTTGGCGCCTTTTTCGATCAGGAAGCTTGCACAGTCAAATTCTCCCTCGTTAACCGCAGCGTCCAAGGGTGAGGAGCCATCTTTATCCCGCACGTCGAGCTGTGCTCCTTTCATGACAAGATATTGGAGGCTTTCAAGGCTTCCCGAGCAGGCAGCACGATGTAACGGGTAAACTCCATCGAGACTCGCCTGGTTAATATCCACGTTCGATCCTTCCACTACGCTTTTCAATGTGTCCACGTCATTGTGTGTTGCGGCCCATTGCAGCAAAACTTGAGGATCGAGCGACAAACTTCGTTTCCTCCTAACAGACTTTTCGTTCGTTGTTAATGAATCTTTATCTCGTAACATCGCTGTCCTATCCTCGCTTATTTTCCTCGAAATGCTTCTGGAAGTAGAAACTTTAAGTACGCTTTTACACATCAAGGAAGACATCTTGACTTACTAAGAGCGTGTCTAAGATTTTTTTTTTAACACGGCTAATGTCTTCAAGATTTAAACAATTTTAGTACGCTTAATTGTTTTCCATCTAAAGTTTCATTTCCTGCGGGCAGATTATTATTATTTCTTCTGTTGTATTAGCGTGGCTTTGCATCTGGGTGATTCCTAGCTGATTTAATTCACGCTTCAACACAACTTTTAGAAGAAAAACATAATTCATAAACAAAACAAGTCCTGGCATTGAAAGGATAAGCCATCTTCTGAATATGCCTTAGATATGTTAGAAGGGGATACTTATCCTTTTCGTCGTCTTTCTTTGAGATTGTCGCCTATCGATATCAAAAACAGTGAAAGGTCAAATAATTCTTAAATATCTGCTCTCTGCCAAAAATAACTGTTAATTTATCAGAAAAAAAGGAAGATCAGTATAGTTTAACCGTAATACGAAAACCATTTAAGGTGAGAGGAGTGCCCCGGCCTCCTCTATGCAAAAAGATTATCTTAGGCTGTTCACAAATTACAAGATATGACTATTTTGGTCCCTTTTAAATGACAGTGCGTATTAAACAAAAACTCACTAGAAACTGTGCAAATAATCCTCAGTTATCTTCAATAAATACGATGAAGAGAGGACGAGAAAAAAACTTTACCAAA